CTTTTTTTTTTTTTTTGGTACTGGGGATTGAACTTGAGTCTTTGAGCTTTCGAGGCAGGCGGCAGAACCACTGAGCTAAATCCCCAGCCCCTACACATCTTGATCAAAACCACAACAGTGGTGCTACTTTACACCTTTCTCTAAAGAAACTTCTCCTTCCATGCTGAGCAATGTTCTTGTCTTTTTATGTTTTTTTGCAAAAAGAATGTCCTACTGCAGTGTCTCTAAGGGAACACCAGCAAGGGAGTCCCCCAGTTTGTCTCTCGGTAGCTCATTTGGTGTCCGGCCTCCCCAGCTCTCCAGGTCAGATGGCTGCTGTTGAGATTGATCCTTGGAGCCTTCTGCCTCCTCAGCTCAAGTACCCTCTACTGAGAGGCCAGAGAGCAGAATGAAGGCAGGGCGGTGTAGCAGAGTGAGGTAAAAAAGGAGACTGACTCTGAGTCCTTACAGCAGATCAGTGCAATCTCATGTGGAGTAGAAGTTTGGGCTCTGACCTCACATTATTAATGTTTTAGCTGGGTCCTTAGAAGTCTGAGTGCGGAACCTGTAAGCACTTGGATCTGAAGTGGGCGAACTCAGCCTCTCTGCTGCTCCTTCCCTTGCCCCACTTGGGTCTTTGTTGTGCAGGCCTGGGGCTGTGTGCACACAGGAGGCACCATGGTGCTCCCCAGGTAGCTGTCATCCCTGCTCTGCAGACTTGTTCCTACTTCTCTTTCCCTGAGCACCTCCATCTTGCAGGCTGCTGGGGGGTGCCAGTGGGACGTGGATGACTTCCTGTGTCTTGTTAGGGGCTGAGGAGGGTGCTTCGCAGGACTGGGGGGTTTCCATCAGAAACTGGGGACAGCTCCACAAACCAGGAGGAGTCGGTCACCTTGGCCTTGTACCTCATTTCTCTTTCCTTTTTTGTGCTGTATTGTCTCTGTCTCTCTGTCTGTCTCGTCTATCCATCTGTCTGTGCAGTACTGGGGATTGAACCCAGGGCCTTTACACTGAGCTACGTCTCCAGCCCCTTCTTATTTTTCATTTTGAGACAGGATCCCACTATGTTGCCTAGAATGGGCTCGAACTTGTGATCCTCCTGCCTCAGCTTCTGAGAGTGCTGGGATTGTAGGTATGTGATACTACGGCCAGCAATTTATTTATTGAGTGTTGGCTCTGCCTGCCATGCCACATAGATGATCTTTTTCATGTATCTTTTTTTTCCCCCAGTACCAGGGATTGAACCAGGTCTGTCATTCTTTTTCATTTTTCAAAGATCCCTGAGAAGTAGGGTTACCCATTTTGTATAGGCTGAGAGAGTTGAGGTCACTTTGCTGTGGATGATGGAGCCTGGATTTGCACCAGTCTGCCTGAGATCCTTCCTGAGTGTGCTTGTGGCCTCCTTTCTCAGGAAGAGGGTGCTGAGAGAAGAGGGGAATGCCGGATGAGCTCTCAAGAGACAAGGAACTCCTGAGGGGACTGGCAGACACTTCTGGGCCAGGCCCTGCTGCCCTCTGCTGGCCACCTGAGTCTCAGCGCAGCAATGTCTTCTGGTGTCGTTACAGACAGTGCTGATGGACCAGGCGCGTTTCCAAGAGCTCCAGGGACAGCTGGAGCAGCTGACTGTCCTGGGGTCTGTGTTGCTGGTCACGTTCAGCATGGCAGGCCCTGGAGTCTCCATCCGGGCTGACTTTGCAGAGAGACTCAAGATGATTGTGAAAGTCCTGCTGACTGACATGCACCTGCCGTGAGTGTGGGACTGGATAGGAGCAGACAGATGGGCAAGGAGTAGACTGGAGCGGATCCCAGCGTCCAGCCAGCGTTGGGAGCTGAGAAGAGACCTTGCTCTCTAACTCTGCTCACCCGCTGCAGACCAAGCTGGGTTCATTCAGAGCTGTGGGGTCAGAGAGAATCACTACAGGGGTAGCGAGGCTCTAGGACAGTGGCTTTCAGATGTTTGTGATCAGCACCCACACAAGAAATTCCTTTTCCATTGTGACCTAGTATGAATTGTACACATATTTAACTGAAATGAAAACCTCACAAGATGGAACTTAGCCTAAATTCCATGCATCCTGATCTTTCTACCCTATTCTTATTCCATTAAAAAATGTACTGTAAATTGCTTTTACAACCAACTAGCAGTAAAAACCTTGCCCTGGAGCCAGGTGTGGTATGCCTATAGTCCCGGCACGAGGCAGGCTGAGGCAGGAGGATTGCCATAAGTTTGAGGCCAGCGTGAGCTACATAGTTCAAGATCATCCTGAACTATGTAGCCTGAACTACAAGGAGTAGTTGCCCTGTCTAAAAAGCAAAACATAAAAACAGATCCCTAGAGAAATCCAGGCAATCAACCCACATGAGGGTGGTCTGCAGCCCCAGATGGAGCCTGGAGGGGGAAGTTCATGGAAGAGATGAGCTTAGGAGATTCGGTTCCCACCTTTTGCACATCCTCTTGGCCCTCTGTGCTGTGCCTCAGTGCACCACCGGATCCTGCAGCACCTCACGTCCGTGCGTGCACACTCTAGCAGCTGCTCTCAGCAAAGCCCCGTTATGATTTACAGGACAAGGAATCTTTTGGGAGGTGTGTGTGTTACTGAGGATTGGACTCGGGGCCTTTGCACTGAAGTGTGTTCCTACCTCCCCCTGACTGTTTTTCTTTACTTTTTAGTTTGAAACAGGGTCTAAGTTACTGCATTGCCTAGGCTGGGCTTGAACTTGTGATTCTCCTGCCTCAGCCTCCCAGAGTGCTGGGAATACAGGTGTGCACCATCACATCTGGTTCAAAAAGGTTTTTGAATGCTTCTATATAGACTTTGTGTCTGACAAGGCCCAGTTCTGAGGACTCTTCCAGGGAAGCACCCCCAGACCTCCTCATGCTCACACAGAGGGACTTTACTGCTGAGCTTCCCCAAAGTGTGGACATTTCAGAGCAGCATGGGGTGCGTCACACTAACATTAGGACTGGGGGTTGCCACAGCCTAGGAGGCTCTGCTCAGCTGAGGCCTGGCCTGAGGCCCTGGCCCTGGTGCAGCTCTGGCCTGTCCGCCAGGTTCCCTGCCTGTAGAATTGTGTTGCTGAAGCTCCCGACAGAGGCCCAGGACAGGGCCACCTGGAGTTGGTGTCAGCTGAGGCCTCTCACTCTCCAGTCACTCCACGAAAGTATTAGATCCAGAACAAATCAGAAAGCTGGTACAAACGAGAGATGCAATAGCCGTTATTAAAATAGCTGGAAAAGGGGCTGGGGATTGAGCTCAGTGGTTCCACCGCCTGCTGTGCAAGCACAAGGTCCCGAGTTCGATCCCCGGTACCCCCCCCAAAAAAGCTGGAAATGAAATGATCTCGTAAAATACCTGCCAGCAGAAGGGCTCCCCACCGCTGCTGGGAAGAGCCCACGGGCCCAAGGGAATCAAGTGCTCATTTTAAAAAACTTTTGGGTACTAATTGTTTTGCAAACAGTTAATACACTCATATGTTTCGAAAATCAAAAGGTCTGGAAGGCTGTCCAGTGAAGTTTCTTTCCCACTTCTGCTTTCTTGTGTCTTCCTCAAGAGTGGTCTTGGTCTCAGGATCCACTGAAGTCTGTGCCCCGTCAACACCACACAGCTGCTGGCACTGGGTGATCTGCTTCAGTCCTGTCCTGTCCCCTTCAGTCCTTGGAGCAGAGGGAGGGAAAGTCCCCGCTGTGAGGTGTGCACAGCTTGAGGGAAGGAGTAGGGAACACAGCCACAGGTTGCCCTTGCGGTGGAGACCACTGGTGGTGGTGTGGCCCTGGTCCGGGGATGGAGCAGTCTGCACAGGACCATACTTACCGCCCTTTCCTCTCTGGCTCTCTTCCGCCTGTGCTCCAGCTCCTTCCGCCTGGACGAGGCCCTGACCACCATTGGGGAGAAAGTGTGCCTGGAGCTGAGCAGCTGCCTCGCGCTGTGCGGATCCCCACTCTTCTCTGTGGACAAGGAGACTGTGCTCAAAGGCCAGATCCAGGCCGTGCGCAGCCCCGATGACCCCATCCGCAGGATCATGGGTGCGTGAGGAGCAGAGGGAGGGTCGGATGGAATGATGGGTGCTGCTGGTGAGAAGAGGGTGCGGCTCATCACCAGTGTGGCCGTGGTGACCAGATGGGTGTCACTGCCCTGAGGGCTCCCAGGGTATAATCACAGATCTGGACTAGAGCGCTTACCGAGGAAGTCGGCAGGTGACTTGACGCCCTCTAAGAGGGATGGTGCCAACAGGCTGTGGGAGTGTGGCCGGCAGCCTGTGTAAGATCTGTAAAGCGGCACCCAGTGAGGACTCAATGAAGAGTGGCTGTTAACTGACATAGCTGACAAACTTAAGCAAAAATAAAAAGTCCTGTTAAAATATGATTAACTATTAGCCAGACACAGGCACATAACTGAAGTCCTTGCTACTCAGGGGTCTGATGCAGGAAGATTGCAAGTTTGAGGCAACAGAAAGACCCTGGGTCAAGACCCCCCCAGAGCTGTGCGTGGTGGTGCATACCTGTAATCCCAACACTCGGGAGGCTGAGGCAGAAGGATCTCTGTGAGTTCAAGACCAGCCTGGGCTACATAGTGAGTTCCAGGTCAGTCTCAACTACATGGTGAGACCCTGTCTCAAAAAAAAAAAAAAGACCCCCCCAAAAGTAAATATTAATATTTAATAGTATTAAAATTATATTAAATATACTAAAGTACTACTATGAATGTATGAATTATTAAAATATTTTAAACTACAATATATTCAATAAAATATTTTAAATATTCTGTATTAGCTGTTTTTATCATTACAGTAGTAGCTCTATGAAAAGTTCTGTTAGTTTTTATTTTTTTGGAGACAGGTAGCTCAGGCTGGCATGGAATTCCCTATTTAGTCCAGTCGGGCCTCTAACTTAATTCTCCTGTCTCATCCACCCGAGTTTTGGGATTACAGGTGTGTGGCAGCATGCCTAGCTCCAAATTTAACCATTTTAACGTTTATGCACGTATCAAAACATTATATATTATATTTGTCAACTAGAAATGTGGAGAGAAGAGAAAAATTCTGTTCTCTGTTCAAGGACTGCAGTGTTTCATTTTAAAAATTCAGGTTTTCTAGGTGTGGTGATGCACACCTGTAATCTCAGCACTCAGGAGGCTGAGGCAGGAGAATCACTGTATATTCAAGGCCAGCATGAGCTACATAGTGTATTCAAGGCCAATGTGGATTACAAGACCCTGTCTCAAAAAAACAAAGAAGAAAAGAAAAGTAAAGAAAAACAAAATTCAGATTTAACTTTGAAGCTTTTCCTCAAATTCTTTGAAAACAGGTATTAAACACATAAATAATGAAAAACTAGTACACTTCAGGCAGAAGGTGAGTGACCCATGGTTTTATATTTCAGCTTGGAGTAGAAGGCTAAAATATTGACTTTTTGTTTGGTAATGTTTTATGAAAAAGTAATATGGATCATTGTTCCAAAAATTAAGATTATTTTAATTTAATTTCATTTACTTTATTTTTGAGACAGGGTCTTGCTGTGTAGTTCAGACAGGCTTTGAACTCACTATGTAGCCAGGGCTGGCCTAGAACTTGAACTTGCAGCAGTCCTCCTGCCTCAGCCTCCTGAGTGCTGAGATTATAGGCGTGCATCACCATGCCTGGTTTAAGATAATTTTTAAAAATTCGCTTCATTCCAGCCCTCCATTGGTGACAGTTTAATCTGTGGGTCATTGAGATAGCATTTCCTGCAGACCCTACAAGGCCCTTGAATGCAGGTTGTCTTGAACCTAGTAGGAGCCCTGTGGCTGCAAGCCTTTTGCTCATGGCTGGGTGCAGACATGTGGTAGGAATGGTACAAGGAGCTCTACTTGTGCCCCTGGTGGTGGTGCAGGCCTGTGATCCCGGAATTTGGGAGTCCACAGGATTGCCTTGAGTTTGAGACCAGCCTAATCTTCATCGTGAGACCCTGTCCCCCCAGGTCAAAACAAAACCAGATAAAAAAAGGAGCTTCACTTCTAGGTGAGGCTTCTGGTTCTGGGAACCTGTTTAGGAATGGGTGTGCTGGACTCAGCCCCCAGCAGCCTCTGACCACGTGTTCTGAACTCACTGAGTGGTTGGACCCGAGAGGAAACCCCAGAGCAGGAGCAGGGCGTGTCGTTGAATCTCACTCGGAGATGAAGGCACAGTGATGCATGGCTGGAAATGTCACAGAGACACCCATGAAGATGCGCTTTAACGGGTATTAGTAATAAAAAGGAAACGAGGAAGGCTACAAATCCCCACTGTTTCTGTAATAAATCTGCAAGAAGGGTGGCTTCTCGATGGATCCCTTCCAGCTGATGAGGCAACACAGGGAGGACAGAAGTGGGTAGAGGTGGACAGGCTAACTCGGATGCCAAAATCATTCCTCCCAGTTGGACGAGTGTCCAACTCCCGCGGCCTCCACTGTGGGCATCAGAGAAGGCAGTTGAGGATTCTCCCTGTGGAGTCAGTAGGAAGAGAGATCACAGATCACTGGTACCGGATCTTTTTTCTTTTTCTGAACTTGCAATTCCTGCCTTAGTTTTCCTTCTTTGCGTGCAGTCTCCATCGGAGGCCCAGGTCGGTCTTGGCCTGGCTGCACCCTCCCTCCCTCCGCCAACACAGCATCTGCCCCGGTGTGTTCTGAGCGCCCCAGGTGGTGGTGGGCGTCACAAGGCTGGGTACTAAGAAGGGAGCGGGGAGAGGCCCTGCAGCTGGGACGAGTGGGTGCTGAGTGTCTGACGTGGGAAGTAACGGGCAGGACTTGCCCAGAGAGGAAATGGCTGAGCTAGGAACTGAGGTGCGATCAGAAGTTTGGAAAGTCACCGTGAACGAGGGACAGATAATGTCTTTTTTTGCGGTACTAGGGATGGAACCCAGGGCCTCATACATAGGTGGCAAAAGCTCTACCACTGAGCAGCATTCCCCGCCCTACTAATCACGTTCTTTTCTCTCACAGAATCCCGGATTCTGACCTTCTTGGAAACCTACCTTGCCTTGGGTCACCAGAAGCCATTGCCTATAGTGCCTGGGGGATTGGGTCCAGTTCAGAAAGAGCTGGAGGAAGTTGCTGTGAAATTTGTTCGTCTGGTCAACTATAACAAGATGGTCTTCTGTCCCTACTACGATGCGGTCCTCAGTAAGCTCCCCCTCCAGTCCTAATGCGCACATGACCTCCAGTGGCAGTAATTAGTCACCCAGAACACCTCAGCGCACTTCTACCATTGCTTTGGAAAATGGCTAAGTAGTACAGTTCTGTCTAACAGCCTTGATTTGACAGGGAAGAACATTGTGTATCGCTGGTGAAAAGACTCGAAGAATGCACTGAATTCTATTTTGAGAGATTGTATTTATGAGTGCAAGTTTACAGATCAAAGAAGCTTTTTGTTATCTGGAGTTTTGTAGGTAACACTCAGCGTTTTAGCAGTTGACTGCTGTGTCTCCATGTTACCCCATAGAGACTGCAGTGGCCGCGTCCTCCCAAGGAGGCTGGGACCCCTGCCCTGCTATCTGGATGGCCCATGCTGACTGCCACCAGGAGGACAGGAGACCAAGCCGTGACTTTACCTCTTGCCCCTCCCTTACAATCCCCCGTCTTCTTCCCTGCAGAAGGGCTGTATGTATAGTCTTACTGCCCCACCTCACTCCCAGTTGCTTCTGCTATACCTGGCCTCGCCAGGGCCCCGGAGCCCTTTGGTTTTAGAACAGAGTTAATTTTGCAAAGCTTATTCTGTTGGGCTGAGGATATAGTGTGATGGCAATGTGCTTGCCTGGCTTGAGCAAGGCCCCAGGTTAAATCCTGGGGCCGGGGGAGCGCAGAGCTGGGCATGGTGGCAGGCCTGTAGTGCTATAGTCCAAGCTACTTGGGAGGCTGAGGCGAGAAGATGGTTTGGGCCCAAGAGTTTAGAGCCAGCCTGGACAGTAAGGATTATCTAAAAGAAAAGCTTATGCTTTTTTACAGGATTACTGTACCTGAACCTGGATGATAGCAGTTGAGTCTTATGTGATCTAAAGAAAGGAATTTCTTTTACTTGTTAGCCTGGAAAGTTAAGGGGGAAATTTTAAAGATGTGTGTGTGTGTGTGTGTGTGTATGTGTGTGTGTGTATCTATATATACACGCATAGTTTAGCGTAATAAATGCCCAGGGATGTAGCTCAATGGTGCTGCACCTGCCTGGCAAGCTCAAGGTCCTGAGGTCCTGAGTTCGATTCCCAGTACCAAAAAAAAAAAAAAAAG